AAAATGTGAATTTTATGGGATTTTTTTTGGAACGGGTATTGGTATAAATATGGAGGCCCGAGTGGGGTGGAGGGGGGGGGGGGTGGTGGAGATGCAAAAAAAGCACTCCCTAATCATAGGGGGCATTTAAAAAGGGAGTCTTGCAGGAACATATTCTTGAAGTTATCTCAAGCTATTAGACGCATGACCTTGCTGCCCTCGCCACCTCAGAAATATGAAGTCGCCTACCATCGTCGACGGGCTCAAAGAGAGTCCTCGTAATTATTTCAATCCAAGGCAATTGCATAGTTCGTCCATCAGCTCATTGACGGGCAGATTTCCACGGCCGTGCCTCCAATCGTGCAGGATTTTAACCACTGAGTATAACCATCGTCCAAGATCTTCCTGTGCCGTCTTGAGGGTCGACTATTTAGAGCTTCTAGTGTTAGGCTATTAGTGTGGACTGCAGCTTGTATGAGCAGACCCTGACCGCCTGTTTGTGGTGAAAGGATTCAAAATATGAGTGAATTCCTATAGCACCTTTGCCTATTTTTAAATATATTAGGTTGGAAGGAAAGTTCCTTAACACTCAATTCGCGCTCTTTCTGGATTTCTCCCGAATGCTCTGGAATCTTCCATGGGTGGTATATAGTAGGAGTGGACCGTGCTACGTACGGTGATCAAATCAGCTTTCCCAATAATGGCGTTTGCATCGCACTAAATCAACTTTTCCCGCGAGACACTCCGAGCGCTCATCTTGTGCGTACCTCGCCTGGAGACATCAGCTCACGAGAGGTGCTCAGAATCTGTCCAGTGATAGAATGGGGCGTGATCTCTCAAGTGGCGCCTTCATTACGGCTTGAACGCTACGCAGCGGAAACTTTGATCCCTCTGACGCAACGTACGACATCAAGACGTCGTCGGCGCTGTAATCGAGGATGATTCAAGACAGTCGTCACACTGTATGGTAGTGCGTCTTGAGTGCTCTCACCGCACGTTCTTTAGGCTCTTCAGGAATTAGACAAGTCTTGGAAATGTGGTCGATGGGTACCGCACGATTTCACCGGGTGGACATCTGCACATGTACTTCTCGTCGCACAGTAGCAACGATAGGCCGCGGCATGTGGCCATTGGCGAAGACAAATGGACCGTCTGCTTTAACCATATGCGAAAGCAGCAGCGGTTTGGAATATGGGAAAGTGGAGTTTCAATGCCTTGACCTGACAACTATGGGGGAATGGTGATGTTGTCAAACTTTTGGAATTTTGACGGTATTTCCCATGGGTGATGTTCTGTCTGCAGGATTGACGATGACAAGGGCTACCCGCTGCTAGCTGCTCGGAACGATTGCAGAAAAGCTTCACGAATACAGCGACAAGTCAACCTGCTTCACGACAACGCGCAACGTCGCGGGTCTTCGGTCTCAAGCCACAAGATTCTCAAGCTAGGCTGGACCGCGGTTGCCCGTCTGCCATATTCGTCAAACCTATCCATACACGTCTTCCACCTTTCCTGCTCGCTCGCTCATTACCTGGAGAACAGAAAGCTCGACGACGAGAAGGACGCAAATCCGACTTCAAAAGGTTGTTTGACAAAAATTCTCCTAATTTCTACAAATGTGGTGTCAGCCAATTGCCCGAAGGTTGGCGTAGTGTTGCTAAGTCTGATGGTCAATATGTTCCGGGTCTTAGAAAAAACAAAGAATAAAAAATAAATTCAAATTTTGGCTGTGGGGTGTTTCAGAACTTTCGTGCGTTCCAAAAGTATGTGGACACCCTAGAATCGATTCTCAGGGGTCAGCTAAAGGCTTTTATGTCATGAAACCTTCACCATTCAACTCCTAGTGGTCGATAACCTACAATGATATTTTCGGCAAAAGATTTCGTTCTAACTTAGCGAACTATTTTTCATGGAAAGTTTTTTCTTTGTATCAAAATTATGTGGACACCCTGAGGCAGATGAAGTTTTTGCATCGATTTCCTAACCTATTTTTACTTTTCCTTTCGTTACTTATTCTGCCATCATTCCTCTTCACGGCAAGCATTTTTCTAAAGAAGACCAAGCACATGTGGAGTCCTCATGTTGCTGAACCTTCCAATTGCAAAATCGCACGTCAACTTGGCCGTGCGTCTTCGTGTGTTGGAAAGAGATCCAGAATCCTGATGCTAAGCTCTCGACAATGACTAAGGGTCGTCTCCAATCGTTACTTATTCAAAACAACAGAAGAATAGCTCGTGATGTGTCAAAATTTCCTTTATCTGCTATTCACGTTCGCGTTCAAATGACCTTCCCGGTCTTAAAAATGACCAATTAGCGTTCCATTCGATCGAATGAGCGCGTGGTACAATAGAAAATAAAGAAAGCTTCGTGTATGGATGCCTAGCACAAGTTGGCAAGGTTGGAATTTCTACTCAAAAACTGAACCACAACATGGGACGTCGAACCCGGACAGACAGCGCTTTCGTGGAAATGGTAAGATTAGAATAAAAGACTTTCGGAAATTTCCTTCATAGACCAACTCGACTGGCAGAAAGAAGCTTATCTTCACTATTCGGGTGGGTCTTGAGGTTTTTGGAGAGACTTTGGTCGGACCCGCAGATGTGCTCGAAGAGACAATTCGGAAGATGTTCATCAAAGGTCTGGGTGGTTCCAAAAGGAAGGGGAACATTGAAGTTTGGCTTGCCAACATGTCAGGTAGACAACTAGGATTATAATGAGGTGCTTGAGTCCCGGCTACAACCTTTTTCGAAAAGTCATGGTTGCAAATCACTTGTTTTGCAGCAGGGGAGGTCCCTGACACATTCCATTTGGAAAAATGCTAAACGCAACGGCTTTGATTGGCAAGTCGGCTAGCGTATTCCTCAGACTTCATCCTTATTGAAAACGTAGAGGTATCGTGGTTCGCGGTCTCTACGTCATTGAACAAAAGAGTAATATCACAAGTGACCTAACACGTCGGTGAAATTTGCTAGTTGGGAACAGATCTGCAAGACATGTATCCAGAGCCTGGTTCATAGCATGCCAAACAGAATGGCTCAACTTACTAGAAGCTTTGGTAGGCCTACCGATTTCAGATTCTGAAGATATTGCCGTTTTTTAAAAGTGTCCACATACTTTTGATACAGGGGTACAGTGACACAAGGTTTTTCCATCAATTAAAAAATTAAAGCTGCATGTAAATTGGTGAGAAATGAGAAATTCTAAGGTTTTCGCATACGAGAAATTGAATGGTGGTCGCATGGTGCAGAAGTCAACAGTTTTCAAGAGAATGGAAATTTTAGGGTGTCCACATACTTTTGGTACGCACTGTATAGTAGCGAAGAATCCAATTTTGTTCTGTAGCAATTGTGAAGTTATTGAACAAAACAGTCCTTAAGATTCTTCCATTTCGCAGTCGCTATATGACCTCGGAACGCAAAATTTTTCGGAATCATAGCGGGTTAACATATCAAGCTTTGATGTCTTCTGACTGATAAAGGAGCTGTGATTGTTTGGTGTTCAAAGAAAACCTGTGAACCTCCTGCAGGAGCGATCCCGGTTCTAATTTCAGGTGATGATTACGCGGAGTCTGTGGTACAAAATCGTTGAAGTTCTGAACCACAGTACAGCCGATAGTATGTAAAGCGGACCAACCGAGGAGAGTGAAGAATCGAGAAAGCGAACTCGATACAATGATAATTTAGTGGAATTGTGTGGTCCATGAAGTGGTTGACCAGGTCAAAGGCGGTAACATTAGATGAAACCCAGAAAACGGCGCCTGAAAGGGATTTGTAATTCACTAAGGTAGAACACATGTGAGAATCTGTAAGCCTACAACAAGATGCTTTATTGAGGAAACGACATTTCAAATATTTTTTGGAATGAATACACTCGAGACGTCTGATGGCTGTAGAGTCAAGAGCAAGACAAAAGCCCCGTTTTCGTAGGCAGCAGGCTTGAGTCCCCTTAGCGTTCGAATCTTCCTATGTACATCCTCACTGCAATTCACATCGAGCAATCTGCAACAATTTTGGTCGACGATTGAAGACAAAAGAAGTCAAGTCGAAGTTAGAAATACTGGCGTAAAGGTAATAAGGAGTGATAATAGGAAAAAGGGAACATATTGCTATTGCCGGTGTCCTGTACAAGAATTCATTATCTCTGAAAGGAATTGATTATTTAGAGATGTCGCCTTCGTTATCAGATGTTA